TCTTCTTCTCTCTTCTCTCTCTTCTCTTCTTCTTCTTCTTCTTCTTCTTCTTCTTCTTCTCTTCTTCTCTTCTCTCTTCTTCTTCTTCTTCTTCTCTCTTCTCTTCTTCTCTTCTTCTTCTTCTTCTTCTCCTCTTTTTCTTCTCTCTCTCTTCTTCTTCTCCTCTCCTTCTCTTCTCTCTCTTCTTCTTCTTCTTCTTCTTCTCTCTCTCTTCTCTTTCTTTCTCCTCTTCTTCTTCTTCTTCTCTCTTCTTCTTCTTCTTCTTCTTCTTCTTCTCTCTTCTTCTTCTTCTTCTTCTTCTCTCTTCTTCTTCTTCTTCTCCTCTTCTTCTTCTTCTTCTCTCTTCTTCTTCTTCTCCTCTTCTTCTTCTTCTTCTCTCTCTTTCTCTTCTTCTTCTTCTTCTTCTCTTCTTCTTCTTCTTCTTCTTCCTCTTCCTTCTTCTTCTCTTCTTCTTCTCTTCTTCTTCTTCTTCTCTTCTTCTTCTTCTTCTTCCTTCTTCTTCTTCTTCTTCTCTTCTTCTTCTCTTCTTCTTCTTCTTCTTCTTCTTCTTCTTCTTTCTTCTTCTTCTTCTTCTTCTCTTCTCTCTCTTCTTCTCTTCTTCTTCTTCTTCTTCTTCTTCTTCTTCTTCTTCGTCTTCTTCTCTTCTTCTTCTCTTCTTCTTCTTCTTCTCCTCTTCTCTCTCTTCTCTCTCTTCTTCTTCTTCTTCTTCTTCTCTTTCTTCTCCTTCTTCTTCTTCTTCGCTTCTTTCCTCTTCTTCTTCTCTTCCTCTTCTTCTTCTTCGTCCTCTTCTTCTTCTTCGTCCTCTCTTCTTCTTCTTCGTCCTCTTCTTCGTCTCTCTTCTTCTTCGTCCTCTTCTTCTTCTTCGTCCTCTTCTTCTTCTTCGTCCTCTTCTTCTTCTTCGTCCTCTTCTTCTTCTTCGTCCTCTTCTTCTTCTTCGTCCTCTTCTTCTTCTTCGTCCTCTTCTTCTTCTCCTCTTCTTCTTCTTCGTCCTCTTCTTCTTCTTCGTCCTCTTCTTCTTCTTCGTCCTCTTCTTCTTCTCTTCTTCGTCTTCGTCTTCTTCTTCGTCCTCTTCTTCTTCTTCGTCCTCTTCTTCTTCTTCGTCCTCTTCTTCTTCTTCGTCCTCTTCTTCGTCCTCTTCTTCTTCTTCGTCCTCTTCTTCGTCCTCTTCTTCTTCGTCCTCTTCTTCTTCTTCGTCCTCTTCTTCTTCTTCGTCCTCCTCTTCTTCTTCTTCTTCGTCCTCTTCTTCTTCTTCTTCTCCTTCTCCTTCTCCTTCTCCTTCTCCTTCTCCTTCTCCTCCTCCTCCTCCTCCTCCTCCTCCTCCTCCTCCTCCTCCTCCCTCCTCCTCCTCCTCCTTCTGTTTCTAGCTCTTCTGGCTACCTCGACCATAGGCACATCGTGCTGTTGTAGAGTTTCTCTGATGTTATCCTTCCATCTTGTTCTTTTGTGTGCACATCAGTTTTATAGATCTGACTTATTTGTATGCAGATTGTTGAATCCTTTCCTCTCAGGCAGATTCACTCCGACTTTGAAGGAAGCCCCAAATAAGTCTACTCTTACGACATACTTGTTGAGGAGGCAGTGGGTCTATTTTCATTACCCTCACCTCAGCGAGGCTTTGGAACCCACACGGAAAGAGGTGGGGGGGGGGGGGGTATTTTTGTTATTAGCCCTGCAAATCAGGATTTAAAAAACACATGAACTCGATTTTCAGTCCGGCCGTTGGAATTCGTATCAAGGTTTTACTCTATTTACGATATGAAGAGGCCAGGTTGCTAAATCGAGGCTTTGTCGTTATTTGGATAAGGTAGGTTCGAACCCCTAAGTGGCAAAGATAGCTTTCTATTTTGTTGTTGTCTAGTTTGTACCCTGATGACTACATCTATCCTTTATTTATATCAGTGGTAGTAAATACATGTGCACTTATTTTCCCATGGTTGTTCCAGTGGCCTTAGGGATTTCCCAACAATTGTTGGAAAGAAGGAACATTTGTTAAGAGGGAGCTTCATATGAAAAGCTTATGTTCTGCATTTCAGCTGCAGGTTTGAAGAAGTATCGTGTGCAAGCATTAGTATGTGCTCCGCATATTGCTGATATTTACGGCATCAGATATTCCATACATCCATCGCTTCTCCCACCCCCCGTTTTCCCTCTTTTCCGACCTCTAAAAAACCCCTGAATCCACACGGGGATAAACTATCTTTAAAGAAAAAAATTCGACAGAATACTTTTGACGGTCGATCACTATGAAGTTAAAATTCACATGCACAACAATAAAACAACGTCAGTGCAATTAACTGCCAAATGAAAATATGTCTTACACAAATATACGTTGTTTTGGCTTCCAATTTGAGGTCTGTGTGGTGCATAATGTACTCCTGTAAATTTACATTAGAGTCAATGATTATTTTGCACCCCATTTTTTAGAGGTTATTTTCTATTGCCAGATTGTCATGTGTTAACAACCTTGTTTGAGAAAGTTGGAGCATAAAGTGCCACTGTGATCACAGAGCTAGGAACTAAATAGATACTTATGACTACTGATTGGTGGTTATCTTACACAAAAGGATTTGACCATTTAGTCGTGTGAAGAAAATGGTGGGAGAAGAGGATGCCTCTTAGATGGATAAAAGGACAGCCAGCCAGCCAGCCAGCCAGCCAGCCAGCCAGCCAGCCAGCCAGCCAGCCAGCCAGCCAGCCAGCCAGCCAGCCCGCCAGCCAGCCCGCCAGCCCGCCCGCCCGCCCGCCCGCCCGCCCGCCCGCCCGCCCGCCCGCCCGCCCGCCCGCCCGCCCGCCCGCCCGCCCGCCCGCCCGCCCGCCCGCCCGCCCGCCCGCCCGCCCGCCCGACCGACCGACCGACCGACCGACCGACCGACCGACCGACCGACCGACCGACCGACCGACCGACCGACCGACCGACCGACCGACCGACCGACCGACCGACCGACCGACCGACCGACCGACCGACCGACCGACCGACCGACCGACCGACCGACCGACCGACCGACCGACCGACCGACCGACCGACCGACCGACCGACCGACCGACCGACCGACCGACCGACCGACCGACCGACCGACCGACCGACCGACCGACCGACCGACCGACCGACCGACCGACCGACCGACCGACCGACCGACCGACCGACCGATCGATCGATCGATCGATCGATAGATAGATAGATAGATAGATAGATAGATAGATAGATAGATAGATAGATAGATAGATAGATAGATAGATAGATAGATAGATAGATAGATAGATAGATAGATAGATAGATAGATAGATAGATAGATAGATAGACGAATGGATTAGTGGTGGAATAGATGCGTAGGTGAATTAATCGGCAGACAAACAGAAGAACGGAAAGAAAGCAAGCTGTTTCGACTAAACAATTATAACCAGTCCACTAGTACACATAAAATTTACAGCTGCATGCGCATACATTACAGTAATTTTAGGGAAAACGTATTAATTATAAATGTACAACAAACTTTATATTATAGTAATATAATTACGCTAGAAGAAATGGTGTGAGAAAGTAAGCAGAGTTGAACTTTATACAGCAGAACAACTATATCGTGTGAAATCTGTAACAAACATCACCATGAACCTACAGGTCCTTACAGAATGTCTCTCTCGTCACGGTACTCTTGAAAGTTTTTCTTTCTATAGCCTTATGTGCTTTCATAGCTAATGCAACTTCAATGTCTTGTATCCACATCCACAGAGGTCTGCCTCTGCACAGTTTTCCAGAAACATAACCGTTATTACCGTTCTCAGCAAGCTACCGTGACGTTTAACATTGACAAAATACTCTAACTTTCAGGAGAGGATGGTGTTTATGAGCCAATTCTCCTTAATGCTCAAATCATGTAGACCGTCGGAGTTTTTGTTCTTCTTGGTCCATGGTATTCTAAGATTGTTTCTGTAGCATTTCATGTCAAACATAGATAACCAAATAAATAAAGTATAGGGCCCCCACACGCATTTGGCGATTTGGGTATATGGTGCTAAACTTGAGTTATAGACCAGTTAGGACTCTACGAATGATGTTGCCAGTACCATACCGGCTACACGTTTGCCATGTAAATTATAGGAATTTAAAGATACAGTGACATGCATTTCCTGGAGCGTCAGTAACCCAGAAACTAGACGCTCATCTGCCGGTCCCGCGGTCTTGAGTTCGAAACTCCACCGAGAAGGATTATTTTCTAAACTGTCCTTGGCTCCCAGGTTGACCCAGCCTAAAATGGATACCAGATAATGTCATGAGAAGTAAATGAGGTCAGAGTGCTGTTGACCCCATCCAGTGCTGATGTGTATAAAAAAGGATTAGCATCGTATGTCCCATGATCCTCGTGTGGGCTCCAGGGCCCTAGGTTGGGGGGAGGGGGAACAGACCCACTGCTCCCAACAAGTACGCCGCAAAAAGCTACTTACTAATCTGGGTTGTTTCTTGTGAAGTCGTGGATATGTATCAAACACTTCGTTTATGATAGTGATGATGATGATGAACATTATTATCATCAAGTTCGTTGTAATCTGGCGTGGGCGATCATGCCTCTTCACATCTTACGATTCCCACCAGCATGATTTAGTTTGTGCGCTGAAACCTTTCAATGTCATGATAAAAGGCTATCAAGAATTTCTCGATTATATCACCATCATGCAACACATCCATTGCAAAACGTCGCTCTTGTTACCGTCTGCTTGAAAGGAATTCGGTCTATCGCCAGCTTTCAAACCTCGTGGACTTACCTATATAGTGTGTCACTTATATAATGTGCCCACCTTCGTGTTGGTTGGCACCTGTCACTCTTTTCTGGTACGATGTCTTCTGCTCTTATTGTTTCGAATCCGATCTGGCGCTTGACATAACCAAAATGTGCCAGTTTCTCAGACAAGATGCTGTTAACTGGCCAATCCCCCTTCATGTTCATGTCTTCGAATCCCGATTATACACGAATCAGAAAAACATGATCAGACGGTAGATAACTTACCAGGTTGTGGTATTCTTGACTCCGATATGGCCCGGGACATGGGGTAGGTGTATTCTTTGCCATACATGCCGTAGCTGTGGGGATGAGGGTAATAGTAATTCTGAGATGGAGGCACTGCGTAGACACCCGGCGTCTCCATCCACAGTCCAGTGCTACTGACCTGTACCAACAGTCAAATGATCACAAATTATCAGATCAGAGGACGATAAGAGAAAGAAAGAAAAAAACGTAAATGGACCTCTTCCCCACCAGGGTTGCATGGTCTATACAGTAGAAGATTCATATTTTATACAGACTAATCGGCACTCCAACCTCCGGGATAGCAATCAGTTTAACAGAAACGAACCCCAAGACATTGTTGAACTATATAAAACAGGTAAATTGAGGTACACTGCGGTCAGAAGAAGTAACCTACTGTCGTGCATACGGTAAAAGTGTAGTAAATATTGTTTAAAAAAAAAATGCCGTTACTGCCTTATTGACCACTTTTTCGGTGTATGGGGGTGGGGGGGGGGGGGTTGGGGGGGGGGGGGGGGGTTTGAGTGTGAAGACTCCGTGTTGTTGGTCGTCCGGTTAGAAAATAACTCTTGATAAACTGCCATGAAATGACGATATTTCTCTTAAAGTTCATGTTTCCCTTTATCGTTTTCAAAGCATAGAAAACCAAAACAGTTTAACTCAAACCAACACACATACATACACACACCACGTACAGTATTGCGAACTCACCACTTAAGACACAGTTACAGGGTTCGTGCTGTGTGCGAGGCTATCGTCGGGGCGTACAAACAGTCGTTTTGCTGAGAGAGACCACACCCTATGGTTTATATGGTAAATAACCTGGGGCATATACCTCTCTCATACAAACGCCTACAATGTTTGTTACTATTAGCTATTAATAGATCAGATCAACAACTCTTCTTCATTATTATACTGCTGCTTAACTTGGTAATAACCTCTCTCTCTCTCTCTCTCTCTCTCTCTCTCTCTCTCTCTCTCTCTCTCTCTCTCTCTCTCATTCCTCCTGAACAGGACTGCTGAAATTATTAGTGCTTTCCTAGAAATTTGGTACTCTGCGATGCTTGTGGAGAAAAATTATACTTCTGGTACAAGGCCCGATGATTTTGTACACTGTAGTAATTCCGGCATCACCATTTTAAATGTTGACATTTAAAAGTAAAGAAACCTTTTCCCCGCCTTTATACGTATTAGGCATATAGGGCTAGACCTATATTTTATAAACCAACCAGGCACTTAGTGGGAGATGTAAACATCAGGCCGGCCGCGTTTACTTCACAGGATTGTACCTGGTACCCATGGCATTGGATCGAATAAATTTAAATGAAGGAAAACCAATGAAATTGCTAACCGCATTCACTAACTTTTTAGCAACGGAGCCGTATTTACAATGATAAACAGGAGCAATTAAGGCAGTTATTTTCAAAACCTAGTTTTTGTTGTTCTTTTATTCAAAGTAGCTCGATGAAAGTGAATTGCACAAGGATTTGGATTTAAGTGAGGAAGAGTTGCAATTCGTCGACCTCACTCTCTCGCCTGTGTCCATCTTGATCCAAAGGTAGGACAGCGTCAAGACAACTGGAAATTGACCTAGGTGCAGTGGATGACTAAGGAGTCTTACAAAACATGGTAAACCAATACTCGTTGTGTACAGAAGTAAAACCGACCTGTGTTGTGACCTCGGGACTTTCTAAACAGCAAACACAGTTTTCAAAAACGATGAGTCATCTGACAGACTGATATGCTAATGTTAATTATGTAGAATCACGCTGCGTTTGCCGCACTTAATAACATCGAAATCTATACACCTTTTTGTATAACCGTTGTGTTTTATTTCTAACGAGGTGAAAATAATTGACGTTGTTTAAGGGCCATTAACAGCTTTTCAATGAACATAAGCCTCGAGTTGTTCAAGCGCAGCTTAGCGACATACAGGTTAGTGAATGTGTTTAACAAATTCATGATCTTCGGGTACTGGGGTTCGATCTCCGCGGTGGTCATGTTATTTAAAAAAATGTCGTGGTGTTTAGACAGTAGTAAGAGAGTCACACCATGAAGGCGAATATGACCTCACTAATATATCCAAAGACAGTTGTTGTTACTCTGCAGCAACCTTCATTGTGCAGACGGCGGCGCATAGTTTGTGTGTACATGTAGTTTTAAGTGTGTGTGGGTGTGTAACAAACCTTCTTATTGTTTTTTTTTTCTTTTTCTCTAGGCAGTGTTCTGCCTTTCAGCATAAAGTTTTAAACAGGCACCCGCATACGTGCAACTTAATAGCTAGTATTCATGGCCTCAGTTATTCCATCTATTCATAACTAGCGTGGAGTACCTCTAGTACTGCTTCATTTGTATCTAAACGATAGGGCTCTCCGTCGATCCCTCAATATCTTGTGGTAGTTTTGACACAGGTACGAACAATTGATCTTTTGTTTCTTGTGCGCGTATGTTACAGCTAAACATACCATAATCTAGTGCCAGTGTCATTTAAAGACCCCACATAGAACTACTAAATATCTTCCTCACTGAATTGCCATTGCAAAAGCTGAGTTGACAATCGGACCTACCACGTCTGTGTAATTTTACAACCTAGTTTCAAACTACTTAGACAATAATTTCTTTAGAAATTTTATTTTATGTCATTATTTGTCCTTTTCATTTTTTTTCGTTTTGTTTTAACGCCTGTTCGATTTCAAGGTTAGAGACCAGTCTCGGGCGCTTACAAAATATTTAAAGAAAGGCGGCAGAAAAGAAACTTGGGGGGTAACTAAATACAGCATTGAGATCAAACTCACCCTGGGCAGGCTGCCATTGGGGATGTGTTCCACTAAGGATGGCTGACTCTGGCTTGAAGAAACGTGAGCAGACACGGGTCGTTGTTTCTTGTGCTCGCGTTTCTTGTGGTTCTTCCGTCTCCTGAAAGGAAAGAAAGTTATAAGATCAGTTGATCAAAGCCGAAACTGGACTTTCGTAACAAGTTTACTGTTTTTCAAAAGAAACCTTGTTAATGTAGCTTCTTTTTAACTTCTTGTTTTATTCTCACCCGGTAAAAAGTAATCATACTGCAAATTCTGCTGTAACTTGTTTGTTGTTAAATTTAAGATAGGTGAAGGACCCTGTTAACATTAGCGTATCGGGCAAATGGTGTTAGATCCATTTTTGTTTTAGTGACCAGTGGACACCCGATGGGTGATATGGTCAGCATCACACCGGTCACCTTTACCTTGAGGGACATTTCCTGTACTCTGTACACATTTAGGTTGAGTCACTCCAGCAGTCGATTTTTTTACCCTGTACAATGCCTTCAATGGAGGCAGTCGACTCTGGGTTCACTACTTGGCGTGCCTGACCCGGTCTGTCACAGAGGTCATAGCTTATTGAAACTTCCTACTCCACTCATACACTTGATGGATTGACAGGCATGCATCGCCATACTGAACCAGAACTATTCACCGATGAATTTTTATAGGTTTTACAGCTGCACTCATTAAAAAATAGAAAACGGATAACAGAACGCTGCTTCTCTATGGTGCATGTAAAAGGTTGGGCGGTCATCTTTAAACTGCCATTATGACGTCATCGTGTTTTTATGCACCGTGATGTCACGTGCTTATCCTTCTTGAACACTTAACAACAATACCCACAGGTTACAAGACGATGGCTTTGTTACTGTAATTTCTACCACTCTTTTGAGGTTTCAAACTTTTTTCCTGCCAAAATCTTGCACTAACGTTTTAGAAATAGTGTCTGTATTAACATCAAATTCATCTACCATCATTCTCACAGTCGAACAACGAACTTTTTATATCTGTTCTCGGAATTTTGCAATGAGTTCCTCATTACGAACAAAAATTGGGCGTCCAGGTCTAGCTGCATTAATAATAATTTCCACACAAATTTTGAATCGTCAATACCAGCTGAAAATCTGTGCACGAGATAAACAATTATCCCCATAAACTTGTCGCATCGATTCAACTCTCGCAATGGCACTATTTTTTAGTTTTAAACATAATTTAATGTTAGCTTTTTTTTTTTTTTTTTACTCCATGCTAATTACGTAACAATGCACCTCTGACTAGGTTAACAAAATGCCGGCTTAATTGTTGTCTTCTTAAAGGGCGGCTATGAAAAGTTGCCAGATCATAGATGAAGGTTTCTTCTTTGGATACAATTGTTTAATTCACAGATGGCATTTTTGTCTTGGCCATAATAAAATCAGTCTCATTACTCAATTGTCGGACGTTGTATATTTTTAATTCTTAAGCTTATTCCTACAATTTATATGGGGGACGGCAGGCAACACACCGAAAAAAAAAAAAATAAACACGGGACTGCCAGAGTGAAAACTTCACGTATTGTTAGCCCAGGTTGGTGACGTCAGGTGCGTGACCCGTCAGATGAATATGGTCTTGGGTGAGGTGTGCAGGCAATGGTAGTAATCGCCACTGAAACTCTTCACTGCCAAGAAAAAAAAATGTACTGTTTACTATTAATAACAAATACAACACTCATTTGACGTTTCGAGCACAGCCAAATGAACACTTGCTGCAGGCTTACACCGTTCAAGCAGAAAATGTAATGTGTGAAAGGTTGAAAGCTACCAGTTGCTAGTACTACAGTGCTAGCTGTGCAAGCATATTCTCAACAGCGAAGCGACGGTGGGGAGAAAAATCACGTGGTACCATCACAAGTGTAAACGCTACCTGCTAACGCTTACACATGTAAACTGAACACGTCTCGCCAGTGTTGGAATGTTTAGTTCTCTGCACATTGTCTTGTCCTCTCTCAAAGCTTCGCAGTCGACCATTTGCATTTGAGACTTCTATTCTGCGCAGAGATCAGTTGACTAACGATTGTAGTTTAAAAGTAATTTGTTTTAAATCCTTCTTTGTTTATGTCACACAATAGCCAGGGGCTGCTGGGATTGGTTCTGCAAAGTCCTGTAAAGGATACGCAACTAACCTTTTGTTTTTGTTTCTATTGCATACTGTAGTAATGATTTGTTATTAAACATATAACATCCTACGTTTGTATTAGGTTATATTTATTTTGGCTTCTAGATTTGAAGGTTTGAACAACGGATCAACATTATGGCACACGGATAGTAACCCATAAGTGCTCAGTTATTCTTCTAACTCAAATCTGAGTCCGAAGAAGCTCAGCACAGTGCACAGGCTGTGTAGCACTGTCGATGATCCAGAAATACTTTGAATAGATTTTAACTCCAAATTTTGAGCGGTCAGCGCCGTTGGGCTACTCTTTTCGATTTCCAACTGCCAAGACATTTTTTTACGTCCGCAAAAATGCACACATGCGTCCAATCTCATTACCCAGAACCAGGGGTAATTACTAGAAGTCCAAGTCCACGTGAAAAAAATCCCAGCCATTAACGGGGATTGAACCCAGAACCTATAACCCGAGGCGGACACCATGCCTCGAGACCACGCAATCCTCTTTTGGCTTCTAGAGATTTCCTAGTGTTATCAAGGCTTCCCACCCACAGCAGGCTTTCATTCGTATTATAATCCACATCACGTTTTGTTGTTAATAATATCTATCCACAACATCCTATAGCTTATATTCTCACTGGTTATTTATACTGATGTTCTTCTAAGTCATTATGACACATTGTTCAACTCTCTCTCTCTCTCTCGCTCTCTCTCTTGCTTTCTCTCTCTCTCTCTCTCTCTCTCTCTCTCTCTCTCTCTCTCTCTCTCTCTCTCTCTCTCTCTCTCTCCCTCTCTCTCAGTCTTCTCCCTCTCTCTAGATTCCTTTACCTTCGAGTTTCCCGTTGTTACGACGCACTCTAGTCAACCTCCCATTATTACTTAAAAATTAATGTGAGTAATTGGTTCTCTTGTGACATAATAACTACCTTACTTACAATAAACGACGGTATATACGACCGCTTTCTTATAAGTCCAGCATGCTATACGACCTTTGTTTGATATACGACTCTCGTGCTAAAACGTGTGAACCTCGACCACATCCAAGCAGGGAAAAGAAATAACACAAGAGAAAAAAAACTCGAGCGTTTACGATTCGTGAAGTTTTATTGAAAATGGATTTTTCTTCCAAACAAAAACATCTGCTCCTCCTTCTCGCTTCTCAGCGTCTTCATAATAAGCACCCGACTCTTCTCATCAAGTTGAAGCCGGGTTAAATTTTTAATTCATGTAATCAATTTTGCACGTATGTATTTGAGTACTAAGTAAGTAAATAAAGTTAAGATCCCTTTTCACGCCTTTTAGGCGTATCGGGTAGAGCGCCCATAATTGTACAGACCATCGGCATTAGGTGGGTAATGTGGTCAGCATTATGCCGGACGTCTTCACTTCCCCAGGACGTACATCATAGTACTCATTTTAGGCTGAGTCGACCTGAGAAGCCAAATACCATGATACAAATCTACGCAGCCAGAAATGGCTTGTGATCGCGGTACGTTGGAATTACAAGTCAGATTCGCAGCGCCTAAGCCACGGATGCCGCATTATAGTACAAAGCAGTGTTTAAAGTATATTAACCCCCCCCCCCCCTAATCAATGTATTATATGTCAATAGCATTTAAAAAAAAAAAAAAAAAGGGGGAGCGGATTAGGCATCCACCCATTATTTCTTAGGGGGAAAATGTGTTTGGTATATGTCCTGTTTGATGAAGTCCAGTGGAACGGATTAAGGACGTATACTACATCTACATTACACATAACATACTACAAAAACACTATCAAGTCCGTTATGACCTACATCAGCGATATCCACTATAAGACAACACCCCCGAATTTATGTCATTCCATGCATAGTTCGTCACGCTATGATCACGTGAGATTATCGTGTAATTCAGTATGTGTGCGTGTGTGTGTGTATGTGTGTGTGTGTGTGTGCGTGTATCGCAAGATACATATTTAGAATATCTACTCTGTTAAACCATTCGCTCGAAGCTGTTAAACCATTCGCTCGAAGCTGAAGTTAAGCTACACGGAACGACCTAGCTGTATCTATGTAAGTCGTTCCCCACCAGGACATCACACAAGCGATAAACAGCCAGGGACACAAAGTGCCACCGTGCGGATGAGGACCACCCGTGGAGAGGTCCCGGAAACCCTGTTCAGCCGCTATGGCAATATTTATGGCCCAGCTACATTCAGGGCCCCCGGCACAAGACGATGTGTGGCTTCAAAATAACCAAAAAAAAAAATAATATTGCATCCGACAAGGGGACGATAGCAAATAAATTTTTTTTATTTGTTTTTATTATCTGTCATCTGTATGCTCTTTATTGATTAACATTTTTGTTAAGTATAGTTGGCAGTTGAATTCAGAAGAGAAAAAAAAAACCTTGGTGGAAACGTTTCCTTGTGTGTATTAAAAAAAAACTATGTGCACATACTGTGATATTCACTTTTTTTTTTGGGGGGGGGGGGGGGGGGGGGGGGGGGGGGCGGGATGGGGGGAGGGGGGGGGGAAATCATGTCCGACAAGTGACATCAATTGCTTTCTACTTGACCCATTTCTGATATTAATTTTAAAAAGAGAAACCATTCAGATCGTCACTGCCTCCTCCTACCCCTCTCCTTCTCCTCCGATAGCAAATTAATTACGACGTATCCTATGCAACACGTGATGTTCCTTTAAGCGCAAGAAACGTCTTCTACCTCTTTGTGTGTGTGTGTGTGTGTGTGTGTGTGTGTGTGTGTGTGTGTGTGTGTGTGTGAATGTGTTTTCTTTCTGCCTTTTAAAAACGTCTTCCACTGTATTTTTGTTTGTTTTTGTTTTGCGAGGTCCGATAAAACAAAATTCTAGTTACCAGGTTTTCCCAGTGCGTGTCATCTAAAGCATCCAAATTAGTCCAAATTAATAACGACGTTTCCTATGCAACACGTGATGTTTCCTTAAGCGCAAGAAACGTCTTCTACCTC